ATATACAACGTACGATAAACGCGATTTGCATATTCTCAGTTTGTCAGAAAGCACCTTAGAATAGGATATTATCAACTAATGTGCTGCGATGAACTTGATTGAAATGCATATTTTATGGCCTATCATCTCACGGATTGCTTATTGTGGCTGCCTGGTATTTATACTATATCTAGTCGACTTTGTGTATAGTAATCATGACTTACACTTTATGAATACTTAATTTACATCTTGAAAGTTTACAAATTGTCCTCTCTTATGTGCGTAATTGATATGACGAAAGTTTATTTTTTGTTACAGTTTATGGGCCCCAGATATCCGGCAGGACCACGACCAGGAGTACGTATGCCACAAATGGGAAATGACTTCAATGGGGTAAGGATAAAAATACAATAAATTTGCCCCTATTATAATTATTGTCCGAAGATAAATTTTAGCTAGTGCTTCAAAATATCTTTCTTGAATAAGTAAAATAACATGACGGTATATCGTATATTTGTTTCTCCTAATCTTGATTCTTTTGTTTTAATTTAGATTATGTATTATATGAGTTATATATATATATATATATATATATATATATAACAAATTTCTAACGTTATGTTTATTTTCTTCACAGCCACCAGGACAGCCAATGATGCCAAATAGCATGGATCCTACTAGGCAAGGTGAGAGATTATTTAATATGCCAGCGTTATATTACTTTTTTCTGGCATTAACGAAAGTTGCGAAAGGAGAATGGCATAGACGCATGCGTACCAAAAACCACACAGCAACAAACAAATAAGTAATATTTTAAATTAGATTGGATTGCTGTGATGTGGAGTGGATTGGTTTTTGAATTGTCTAGTTACGAGCAGTGGTGTAGTTTGCATATATACTTACTAAAAAATCAATTTCTGTAATTAGTATGTAAATATGTATTTTCTTATCAAATATTTGATATGCTTTTTTTTATGGCCTATATCTCTTTTTCTTCTTTAACAAGAAAGATTTAATTTTTGTGCTATAATGTTTGTAATAATATTTTTCGGGACATTCAGTTATACATTGCAATTCCAATTTGCAAAAGTGTAATTTATACAAAAGAATATTTTGTTTGTGTAATATTATGGATATATATATATATATATATATATATATATATATATATATTTATTTATTTATTTATTTATTTATTTATTTACATATGGTTTTTGAGGGGTTCAATATACATTATATCATTTGCTAGATATGTAGACATAATTTCTTAATCAGTTTCAAGGTTATTTTAAAAATAAATAGTATCTGCTATACCACTGCAAAATAACTAGGCTTTACCACCATGAAACTGACCTTACCTACCTGCCGTACTAATGTGTGCTCTTGTGTTCCTCAGGCGAAGCTGGAGAATTTGTAGGGTGGCAAGGTAGGAAGCAACCCAGCAACCAAATCACACTTACATGACTTAGTCGAGCCTAACTTTTATTTTTTCTCCTCCTTGCCTTTAAGGTTTTTTTTTCCACTTTTTATAAAAGTAATTGCACTGGCTTTGCTCTTTTGCAAAATAATTCGCTCATCCGAATTAGCATTCAGCATGACAATTGCAATTTAGTATATTAAATGAAAAATATGTGTGTGTAACTTTGCGAATACAATATTCATTCGATTCACAAAAAATGCGGTTAGTGGAATGCACTTAAATTTTGTAACTTTTTTTTATTTTCTCACCAAAAATAAGACTTCGATGTATGCAGTATGCGTGCAAAGTATATAATATCGAAGTGAAAACTGTTCATAATATATTTATATTAAATGTATACGTGCAAATGCATAGTTTATTATTTTCTCGAGATAACAAATATTCTTAAATTAACGGAAAAATGATCTCAGATCTATTAGCATAATGTACTTGTGGGCAGGAACATCTAATATTGATTAAAAATATTTACCACGAAATTATGCTGCATATAAACGAAAAGATCACATTTGTATTTAACAAGCATATCTTTTTAAACATATTAAAACCATGTTGCTTCTGTATGTGTCCTTGCAAAACAAATTTTTTAGCTGCAATCTATTATATAACGACTATATGTATTAAGTAAAGCAAGAAATAACTTTTAAACAATTTTTTCATATCGCGAAGCTAATAAAAAATATATTTTTTTTAATATTTTATTTAAATTATTGTTAAAAATTCAGTATTACAGTATTAAATTCAGTATTACAATCTGCACAATATTATTTCTATCTTCAGCATGAGCTTCTCACTGTGTTTGTGTGGTGACAGTTGCTTGACCAGCATGTCATCCACCTGCTTTACCTCAATCTCGACTTTGGCGAAGCATGACTTTAATTCCGGCACTTTGAGCACACTTAATTGTTATTATCGTACACAATAGAGCACAAACTTGATACACAAGATAGTTTATTAGAGTTTAGAAAACCCGCGATTTATCGTCAGTCTACAGATCGCGATTAGCAGTTAGTATTAACATAGAACTAGAGCAAAGTTAACACTTTTGCATCTATGATCGAATGTAACAAGCTATAATTTCTATCTTAGGTCCGCCAGGAATGAACCCCATGAATCCGAGAATGAACCCTCCGCGAGGACCGGGTATGGGTCCCATGGGTCCTGGAAGTTACGGTCCAGGTATGCGAGGTCCACCACCTAATAGCACTTTGGGCCCGGGTGGGCCGGGAGGTCCTGGAATGCCGCCAATGAGTATGGCCGCTCCGGGTGGCAGACAACAGTGGCAACCAAACACATCTACGGTAAGGATCTACGAACTCTGTCTACTAACATGTTCCCACTTGTTTTTAATGCATTTTTGGAAAACAGAAATTTTTAACACATCTTTATGATATGCAGCCAATGAATTATTCGTCGTCATCGCCGGGTAACTATGGAGGGCCTCCTGGATCAACAGGTCCACCAGGACCTGGTACACCTATCATGCCTAGCCCACAAGATAGCAGCAATAGCGGAGGAGAAAATATGTATACCATGATGAAGCCTGTACCTGGAGGAAATATGCCGGGTGTAAGTTCATAATTATAATCTTATTCGTACCTTCGAATTAATGAATTATACATTTGGTCTGCAAGTTACCTTGCATCGTGATAGAGAAAATAAGTAATGGTATAATAATTAGCCCAACAAAGTATTTATGGAGACGAGATAATATTAAAAGCTCATACATTTTAGGACTTTCCAATGAGTGGCGGGCCAGAAGGCGGTCCGATGGGACCTATGGGTCCTAACACGATGGGTCCGGTTCTAAACGGCGATGGTCTCGACGGAATGAAGAACAGTCCAGCGAATGGCGGTCCTGGCACACCACGGGAAGATAGCGGCAGCGGAATGGGTGATTATAATTTGAGTGGATTCGGAGCTCCAGGAGAAAACGTGAGTATGCACAGGTTCTTTTAACTTCCTCTAATGATCATTCGACGTGTTGTTGTGGATCTGTATCGCACGACGAATCTCTTTCTGTCTATCGATTCTATCGATAGAGCTGTGTATCTTAAAGAATTACCTTGTCGTTTCTTCCGTCATATGACGTTTACTACCATCTTCTGTTATACGGATCCACGTTGCAACTTATCGCCTTTCTAATCATCTCAATTAACAGCCACAAGTGCTTTTATCAATACAGCGGACATTCACGTATCTCGCTGAGTAATTTGGGTTCAGTCGTGCGTTCAAGGGATTTGTCTATAGCCTTGCTCGGACAGTCTTGTTAATGCTTCCTTAAAGTGTATCATTTGTCCTTAAAAATTTCTCGGAAGGTGTTCTGTTTCATCACGCGTCATGGTTTTTCTTGGTAAATTTAATCAACGTCACTTGTTCGCATCTAATATTGTCATAACAGTACTCACTGAAATAGCGTCTAACTACTATCGCACTAACCGTATGCCTAACGATGCAATTATAAAGTGGGCAGAAAGATGACGAGACTTATAATGTTAGAAGAATAAGCATAGTTTGTCTCTCACTTGGTACGCAACATGTTACATGAAATGACGATTGGATTATTTGATGTACGCGTGTTTGTCTTGAGTTTTTACTGCGCGCTTTATAAGAAGTGCCAAATTACTTTCGTACGACAAAGTAATCGAATCTCTTAACGAATCGCGTGAACGATTTTACATGCTAATCTTATGTTACTGTGTCGGATTATCGGTAGCGTCTGACGAAGGAATAGTCACGGTGCTGTCGTTTCCGATTTTTATGAAACTTCGCCGATTTGCACAATAATTGGAAATGTACGAGAGAGGAATCTTTTGCCAAGGAAGATTCGCGCTTGAGAGATTGAAGTTGTATTGATTCTTAGTGTGCATGTGCTGACGTTTCAAGTTTATAAATTGATCCGGAAATAGTGACGCAACAAAATTATTTAATATTCGTCTCACACGATCGTGACATGTTTGTCACATGCATGATTTCAACATTATTTCGAATTGGCTTCATAATAATCTTGACTTTTCGAGACGTTCTTCTCTCGATAGCTCAAGCGAAGAAAGCGGGATTGATACTTTTTATCGTGATGTTCGCGCTTGATGCAATTTTGTCCTTGAAGTGAATGTTTCTGTTGGCAAGAGAGAAACACGTGTCATTAAGGGGATGCCATAGTGGATAAGCGTGACGTCCTCTTAATCCTCAGTTATTCTGCAAATTCTACGAGGATTCGATGCGATCGAGGAAGCTGTGGCGTCGTGGCGTGTTCCTTGTGTGTCGAAGAGTGTTACTAGTAATCACGTACCTGCACCTTCTGTATTCTCGACAGTTTTTTTAAAAAATCAAGTCGCCTTGGAGCCAGCCCCGAGTTCATAGATGCCGTAGACTCTACCCGGTTATACACGTAGTGTGGAAAAGCATCGTACGCGGACTTGCTGCATTTCACGTGTTCCACGTGCATTCTGGCGCATATAGTTCGTACAGTTTCAGTACAGCAGACAGTCAATTCTCTCTCTCGTGGCAAGGTAGAACGAGGAAAAAGAAAATTTCGAGACAATCGTGTGAGATACGCGACGTAACATCTGCGACCGTTGTCGATATTGCTCTTGCTCGATTAGAGTATTAACACTTAAGCGCTCATCTCTATCGCATTAATCTATGGAACGGCGCAGATACTTGACGATACAATTACACGTGCGTCTCATCGCGTAGATATACACTATGTATATGCTTTCTCTAAATACTCAGAAAGTTGCAAGACTTAGATGTATTTACTCTCGTAACTTTTTCGGTTTTATTTTTTTTTTCTTTCTTTTTTTTTATACTACGACTATTGTTACACTTTACTACCTAATCCTTTTAATTAAGATTTGTCAGATTACTTTCTATTATTTATATTTATTTGACAATTAGCTCGTAAGCAAAGGTGCCTGAAAAATATTACGGAAGGTTGTCTACATGAGGAACACGTGCATGTACACGAAATATGTACACGCATACACTCACACTCGTACACACGTATATACATAGGACAGATACACATACACACACATAACATATATAATTGTCCGCGCTACTGTGATTATACCGATTGTATAATTATTAATCGACTTTTACACTCTTGTTTCTTATCTTGTTTAAACACTAATGGTTCTGTATCGGTGTTTGGCCCTATTCGTCATCCCGTTATAGAGTTAGCGGCGTAAATAGTAATATTAGAGCGTAGCAGGGTTGCCTGAGGAACATATCGCGCGTTCAGTCTGGCAAAGAACTAATATTTCAATTAGCTGTCGAACATAGAAACTTAGTGCGTGGATCGTTCCGGCAAAAGTCGCGCTGATGAATCTGAATTCGCGACGCCTCGAAACTCGCAGCTCGCGGAACAAGCTATACTGCCGATTTTTCGTTGTAACGCGAAACACCTCGCTCTGAGGTGAACAGTCTAGGCGAGCTAGTGCCAGGTCCCTCCATTGTTTGCTCACAATTTACTCCCTGTTGGGGCCAAGTCCGCGTGTTATGATTTCTTACAGCCATTAGCGTTGCAATATCACATGCGTACGTTGTCACCTGCGAGAACACGCGAATTGTCAGTCTCCGTTCATTCGCGAAATATCGGCTCGAACGTGCGGGGACGCTTGACTTTGGCATTGTGCGATTGACGGACAATCGACATCGGTTACGACGTGTCGTCTTAGAGAATCTCCAATAGTCTTTCATAGTGTTGTCGTCTCGGTTAAAATGTCTTAAACTGCGTCTCGAGATGATGATACGGTTGATATTCTTACCGCGTACACGAGTTCGTCCTGCCTCAATTGTTTTCTCTTAGTAACGTAAGTATCGTCCGTGTAATGATATAATATGCAGTATAGCTAAAAGAATTGTTCCTATATTTAAAATCTGATCTCTCCCTCTCTCTCTCTCTCTCTCTCTCTCTCTCTCTCTCTCTCTCTCTC